CACCACATGCCAGCCAGCCCTGCCCCCTGGTGGGCTGAGCTGGCCACACACACACTAAATAAATAAATAATAAATAAATAAATAAATCTTTAAAAAAAAAAAAGAAAGAGTTTTTAAGAGTAAGGATTGTCTGTAAATCTGTCAAAGTACAAGTAAATGGTAACTGATACATTCAAGGGATTTGAAAGCACTGCTTTCTAAAAAAACAACTCGCTTTGGGGAGAAGAAAATGTTTTAAATATTTTCTGATTAGTCACCATTTCTATTAATAAACACTTAAGTAGCAATCTAGTTGCGGGAGCTTCCAGAAAGGGTCAAATGATAATTGAACTGATATCCTCTTTGCATGTGGTCGGGGAACAAAGTTGCTTTCTCTTCCTGAAGTCTGTCCAGGCTGGACCTGGAGGAGAGGTCCTCGAGCGCCTCCCCCGACGAAGCCTTTGCGCGCTCTCCACGCGGTCTGGGCACCTTTTGCTAGCCGGTAGCCTCTCTGGGCCTGACGTCATCAGCGGGGGGTGGGGGGGTAAGACCTTGATCTGCTGGTGAAAGCTTTTAGGATAAACCTGGAGAAAAGGAGCGCAGAGTCAAGAATGATGAGAGAGCAGGGAAAAGACAAAACCTAACGCCCACAGGTGTGCGTGCAGGTGTGCGTGCTCGTGCTGGAGATGCGCGGAGGAAGCGGAACCCCCAACCTGCTCCGCGTCAGATGCGCTGAGTTCCTCCTTCCCAACATCAAAGTTTGAATTCTAAAGACAGTGAAGGCAAAGAGCATGAAAACATTACTGAGAGAGACAGCTCCTGAGGGACGGGAAGGGATCCAAAAGTGGCTTTCCAATGCGCACTTGGCAAAGGAAGGTTATAGAGCAAAACCACGAGGAGGGCGCAACAGGGTTAAAGCTATGATCAACCAATAGGATTCCAAGGACAGCCGCTTAGTAACAGCAGTCCCTTGGGGAAGCAGGTCACGCAGCAAGTGCGCACGGAAAGGACAAGGACTTAGGAAGACATGGCTCAGGAGGTCCTGGTCACCCACGTGGGCAACTGCTATCTAGCTAGACTATTGGGTCAAGTGGTACCAACTGTAATAGAATCTTTAGTTTAATGCTTATCCTCGGGGAGGCAGGCAGGCAGGCAGGCCTGGTCGTTCGGTCTTCGTCTTGGGGCCTGGCTCTGCATAGGTGCACCTCGGCCACAGCTATGGTGTGTGCTCCCCCTCCGCACTGGCCAGACGGCCCAGTCGGGGAGGGTCCAGTCCTGTCTGAATGCTGATAACGTTTCTACCTCACTTAGCTGTGTACAGTATTAGTGTACTTTGGACATTATGCCCAGCTGTGAGCGCAGCTGACTCTCCTGCAGTTCTCTGTAGCCTAAATTAAGCAATAAACCATAAAAGCTGAGGTGGTATTGTATTAGCAAGCAGGGTCTAGCGGTGCGCCAGCCACATAGACCATCTACTCTCTTGGCAACTTCGTTTAGTTGGGGAAAAAATAATAACAAAACCCAGCTCAGTCTTACCTTGGAAGCGAGACAAGTATATTTCATGTTGGTGACTCATGTGGTTGTCATCTCTCTCTCTCTCTCTCTCTCTCTCTCTCTCTCTCTCTCTCTCTCTCTCTCAGAACTGAGTTCACAGCCCTTGAGCTGAGCTACATGCCCAGCCCTCCTTATTTATTTACTTTTTAAATTTTGAGATAATCTCTCTAAATTGCTAAGTTGCCTAGGCTTGGCTTGAACTCGAAATCCTGCCTCAGCCTTCTAATGCTGGGGTTACACATGACAAGCACCTGGATTTTATTAATTATGTCTAACCCACCTAACCAGGCAGATAACTACAATCATTTATAGAAAAATTGAGCATATAATTGCTGGGCTTCTGATCCTTCGCCTAATTCGTTGGAATCAGATACGTGCATTGGTTCCCTCAGTGTTCTGGGGGTTGAACCCAGAGTGTTGTGCTTGGGAGCGGACGCTTAACCGCTTAGCTGCACGCTTAGTGCCTTAAATTGTTTTCTGCAGACTTGAAGGTGATTTTTGGTTGGAAACTAGCACTGGTTGAAGCCTTCTCTAATGAGAGTTCAGTTTTTAGATTGTTCTCTGTTGTTCATTTATCACAACTTTTTGTATACAGAAGACCACTGTAGGCTTCTGCATGGATGTGGCATTCCTCATGCCACCTATATCACAAAAAATATGTGTTCAATGACCCTTGTCCTGCTGGGGCTCTGGTGAAGAAAATAAAGCATAAGTAGACATCACTGCATTCTTATGACTTCATTTGTATGTATATATAATTGCATACATTTGTTTGATAAGAGGTGAACTTCATAGTCATGTATCTACAGTTACTCTTCAACTGGGGTAAGTAGGAATTATTTAATCTTACATACAATGCCAATTTCTTACTCACTAGTAGGTGAGGGGCAAAAGTGGGGCAAATGGGTGGTCCTCGGAACCCGCATTATAGCTCCTGTGTAGTGCATTCTTCTATACCGTATCAGGAAATGCAGTAGCCATTTTCTTCACCCAGTTTTGTAGAGAGGAAGTCAGGCTGGTGTCATCCTTGAGCAGCTCCGTGTCTGACCTCCAGAACTTTACGCATGGCAGAATAAGAATGCTTGCCGAACAGCATATGCGTTGTCTGTTTCATGGACCTTCCCCTTCCTTTCTTTAAACGCCCCTCCGGGGTGGCTCCCACCAGCCACTCCTGCTCTCACAGCCAGCTGCAGTATCCTCCTTGGCTCTCCTAGCAGCACGGTGAGCTGGGCGTTATTGTCTTCAGAGTTAGAGGAGTGTGCACAAAATACACATTCTCTAATGGCAAGGAAGCATGACACCTGAGCTTGAGAAAACTGCTAGGCCTGTTTCTTCATCTTTAAATTGGAGATAATAAATGTACCAAACTTAGCTGATCATCGTGTGGAATAGTTGTGATGATGGTCAACATATTATGATTGTTCAAGAAGTGTTAGTTATTAGTGAAGAAATCTCTCACAAATGAAGTTACTCTCCCAAGCAGTTCCAGTGAAACCCTAGAACCTATAAGGGAAAGGGGCAGTTTGGGATAAAAGACAAAGCCATTGCCTAGAGGAAAGGTTGGAGGAGACCTGGAACTTTCCCAAGTGCCAGCCTACACACGTGGAGTTTCAACACCCATGCCTTTTCTCGAACACAGCTAGATATAGGCAGCTGCTAAAGCTTTATTGCTGTGTTTGTAGCACAGCATGATTACATTTGTCATGGAGAGCTGGTCAGTAGAAGTTGGTGACGCATCTTAAATCTTTTTATGTTTCCCTTCCTCTCCCCTCCTTTCCGTCCTCTTCTCATTTGCTAAGTGGACGGTAGTTCTTCTCAGTGATGTAGGAGGCTGCAACTCCCAACCTGAAAAGTGCCTGGATGCGTTTGTGTTCTCTAAAACC